AACCTGGGGAACAATTTGCTCTCAGGAGATTTCCTCAATACAGTTGTGAGTAATCTCAAGAATTTGAGATATTTCTATGTGCCATTCAACAACATAACTGATTCTGTGCCATTATCTATCACTAATTGTACTCAACTTCAAGTGCTCGACCTCAGTTCTAATGGCTTTACAGGGACTATCCCTCCAGGATTCTGTTCTTCCTCGACCTCAGCCCTGCGAAAGATTATTTTAGCCAACAACTATCTCTCAGGAACAGTGCCGTTGGAGCTTGGAAGCTGCAAGAACCTGAGGGCAATTGATCTCAGTTTCAACAGCTTGATTGGTTCTATTCCCTCAGAGATTTGGACCTTACCAAATCTTTCAGACTTAGTTATGTGGGCAAATAATCTCGATGGTGAGATCCCAGAAGGCATTTGCTCCAATGGAAGGAACTTGGAGACCCTCATTCTCAACAACAATCTCATAACTGGAACCATTCCACAGTCCATTGGCAACTGTACTAATATGATATGGGTGTCACTTTCCAGCAACCGCCTTACTGGACAAATCCCCGTCGGTTTTGGAAATCTTCATAAACTTGCTATCTTGCAATTGGCTAACAATTCACTCACTGGACAGATCCCTCCAGAACTAGGCAATTGCCGGAGCCTCATTTGGCTTGACTTAAACAGCAATGCCCTATCTGGAAATCTCCCACCTGAGCTTGCCAACCAAACTGGCACGGTCCTGGCTGGCGTTGTTTCCGGAGAGCAATTTGCGTTCATAAGAAATGAGGGTGGAACAGCATGCAGGGGTGCTGGAGGTTTGCTTGAATTTGAGGGGATGCGATCAGAGAGGCTTGAAAGTCTCCCAATGGTTCATTCTTGCTCATCCACTAGAGTTTATTCTGGTTGGACTGTTTATACTTTCTCTAGTGGTGGTAGCATGATATACCTTGATCTCTCTTACAACTCCTTGTCTGGAACCATTCCTGAGAAGTTTGGTACAATGAGCTACTTGCAAGTCTTGAATTTGGGACACAACTCGCTAGCTGGGGATATTCACAGCTTTGGAGGTTTGAAAAATATTGGAGTTCTAGATCTCTCTCACAATCATCTTCAAGGCTATCTGCCAGTTTCGTTAGGGACTCTCAGTTTTCTCAGTGACCTTGATGTTTCCAACAACAACCTCACTGGTCCAATCCCCTCCGGAGGTCAGCTGACCACTTTCCCAGCATCCAGATATGAGAATAATTCAGGCCTTTGTGGGGTACCAATGCCTGTGTGTGGCTCTGGAAGCCACTCAACAGGCTTACATACTCGGGGAAGAAAGCAATCTGTGGCAACGGTAATGGTGGTTGGCATCATATTCTTGAGTATCCTTGCAATTATATTAGCAATAGTAATCGTCCGATTCCCATTACAATCGAGAGAATTACGACGAGATGGAGAGAGTTAGAGAGAGAGATAGAAGAGAGCAATTGCTTGCAATTGGCAGCAGAGAGACTCTCCAACCCAAATCCAACCTCCTCCATTGGGACTCGACTTGAGATCGGAAATGTACTTATTTTTGCTTTGTGGTGGGCTTATTCGCTCCAAGCCCCTAAGGCCCATGTGTACACAAAACATGCTTTAGAGGCCCAATCTGGGACCAACAATAACAAAACAGTCGTTGCATTTTGCATATGCCATTGCCATATATAATACAAAAAATGGGAATGTGGTATGAATTTTAAGACAACACTTAATTATTGTTGTACTAAAAAGACAATACTTAGTTATGGAGATTCAATCCTAGGGTCGCCGATAATAATATTGAAAATGTTAAATGTTAATTTTAAATTTTAAATTTTAAATTTTAAATAAATTTAGTGTCTTTAAATATTTTTCATTTTTTTTTACATTAATTATAAAAATGATAATTTTTTTAATTATTCTCTCAGTTTGGTCCATTAAATTTATTCAATAGAGAATAGCAACTAGTTATATAAAAAGTCTTCATTTGTTGTATAGAGAATTTTCCTAT